ATGAGGCTTTCTACTCCCGTAAAGATTTACACCCTCGGAAACCCTATACAGGGTCGCTATGGGTCGGAACCGACTCGATGGCACATAACAACAACATACTTCTCTTGGAGTCCTGGTGTGGTGCTGTAGGATAAGCACTGGATTCACATGCCCCAGCCACTGCTGGGAAACCCTATATAGGGTTGCTGTTAGTTGGAACACTGCCCCTGTTAGATTGATGCCAGTAGAGAAGGAAGGGAGGTATGCTGAGAATCCTGCTTTGCTCTGTGAACTTTCAACAACTTTGAGACACTTTGCATAGTGCATTCCAGTTGTTTGTTAATAAGTTCATAAGCATTTCTGGAATCTTAAACTATAATGGTACATCGCTATGAGTCTCGGAACCGACTCCACAGCACATAACCACCACCACCACCACCACATTAAAATAAGCAAGTATGATGGTTCTTTCACATATAAACACATTTTAATGATTCTGGTTTTGTTGCTCTTGTTTCTTTTTAACACATACCCTTAGCAAAATGTTTAAAAAAATTTTTTTTTTTTTTAGTATCTTCCTAGCTTTAAAATTTGTCTCATTTAACAAAGTCTTTTTTTCCTCTGTACATTTTTGGTTTCCAAGCATGTTAGTGCAGTAGTGGAACCCTAAGACTATGGTCTTTAAACACCCTTTACCCCAGGGGACAACTTTCAGCCAAACAATAGTACCATGGAAGAATGGCCTTCTCAACACAGTCAGCCACGTGAGACCAAAAGGGCGGCACCTGCCCCAAAACAAAGCCCAGAAGGTAGCGGGGTAGAAAGAAGGACGCAGGGAAACGGAACTCAGGGAGGAGTTACAACCAACATCACAAAACAAAATGTGCACCCAAAGTACAATGAAAAGAAAGAAAAGAATATTGGGACAAGCCTCTATTGAAGTATGGACAACTGTAGACAATGGCAGTCGACACGGAGCAGCCTAGGTGTGACTCCAAGTGTCAAGACTCCTGCTAAATGATGACTCGGACCCTTTGTAGACTAAAATGTTGTATAGAGTTTCTGAAGTTGTAAATCTTTGCAGAAACAGAAAGCCTCATCTTTGCCCTGCCAAGAGTCTGGTAGGTTTGAACCGCCTACCTTTTGGTTCACAATCCAATGCTTATCCTACAGAGTCACCATGCTCCCTATTTTTCAGAATAGGTATTATATGTATGTGTATGTATATATATATA